TTAGCTTTTTCTCTTAGTATGTTCTACCAATCTTTTATCTCTTTACACTATTCTTCATTCCATTTGTCTACTAGCTCAGGAATTTGTATGTTATACTCATCATTTAACTATCTAATACGTGCATTATATAACAATTCTTCAATCTCATCTGTACTTTCTCCTAGATTCTTCATACTTTTTTTATATAGTTTACCTAGTACCTTAACTCTATTATATAATATTGACTTAGGCACTTCTTTTCTTATCTGGCACTTTGTGTTTTGTACTTTTGTTGATAGTATACATTCATTTGCAGCTGTTGTTATCACCCTAGCTACAATTTTCTAGTTCTCATCAATGTCTTCACTTTTTATATTCTGTAATCTACGCTATTATTCTCTTTGCTTTCTTTTTGCATTTATTAGTAAACGTTCTACTCTTTAGCTATATGCTTCCTAATCTTCTTTTGTTGCCTTGTAGTACAAATAGATTCTTCTTGTTTCTCCTTAGCTTTTCTTAGTTCTTATTCACTTTTTTTGAATAGGTTAATACTATCTAATTGCATCTACACTATACTATGATTACTATCTGTTATTGTTTCTGAACTGTCAATATCCGCTTCTACGATGAATGGCTTTAAATCTTAACAGCACCATATGTAATCAATTCATGTTGCTATATTGCCATTTGTCTATGAAAACTTAGTAGAACTTGGGTTGCAGAAGCGAAACGACTCAATATAATCTAAATTGCTTAGCCATTTTATGATTTTTAAATTTGCATCTTTTGCTCATTTTTTTCTGTTACTAGTATCTAGATCATAATTGAGTACAGCATTGAAGTCTCCTATTATTATGCTATACGTATTTTTCTTATTTTTGATAAGCTCTTCTATGATTATCTTGTATACTTCTTTGGCTACTTTTTCATTTTTCAGTAGTATGTACAAAACCTACACCTGTATCATAACTTTTCTAAAATAGAACTCTGTTTTGAGAAGATAAAGACTAAATTTCTTGTATACTCCTATATGTCGAAGCCAGTTCTAGTCTACTAGAAGGCTAATTTCTGATCCTTTATTCTTATCTTCTTCTGTATTCATTCAAAATCTTTTGTATGATTATTTTCTGTATCAAACTATTTGCTTTCTTTTTCACTTATGTTTGTTTCTACAATACCTACTAAGTTAAATTATTCTTTGTTACAATAATCTGCTAACTATTCTAACTTTAACATGTCTTTTTTTATTCCATTAATATTATGTATTCTAAATTTGATTTTTCTCTTCTATGTATACTTCGTTCCTTTATCTTCACTTCTCTTTAACTCTTCTTCTTGCTCCTTTGTCTTTCTATTAACACTTTGGTTTAATATACTATGTGCCCTTTCTTTATACTTAAGTTTTCCTTCATAAGTTATATGAGTATTCTGTAGTTGAACCTTGGCTACTTTCAGGAGCAATTAGGAGTATTTTGCTTCTGTGTGCTTCATTTGTCTAAACAGAAGTACTTTATTAGCTTCTCTTAGGATATTATATAGTTTTGTTATATGTTGTTTTCAGCTTTCAAGAACTTCTCTACTATTTAGTTCTGGTGTGATATGGACTAGTACATTGTTCAGTAATGGTATAGTCTAGACTTCTTTTTCTTGGTTATTTATTCTCAATTCTTCAAATATGATTTTTGCTCTCATTTTCATATGGTCTTTTTGAATCATCTCGATATTTGCAACTCTTCCCATATATATTACTGCTCTGAATACTTGAGTTCTTGAAATATGTAATAGAATATCTCATATTGTTATTGCCTTTTCTTTTTTGCTTGTGCTCGCTTTAGGTTCTTCTTGATTCCAATCTCTTTTCTTTGAGCCTTCTGGGCCTTTACTCTCCTCATCATAGTATCACTTTCTCTTTTCCTTTAGAATACTTTTCTCTCTATTTTCTTCACCTCTTTGATATCTTGTATCATTTTCTTTCTTTTTTGCTTCTATGGTGATATTTTTTGCTTATATTTTTCCTTTTATTTTGTCTTCTTCATATATCATCTTTCCTTTTCTTTTGTTTTTAATTTGGTTTATTTGGATCTTCACTTGTTCTTCTCTTAGTTCGCTTTTTTTTTTCTCAATCTCTTCTAGTTCTAACTTTGCTTGCTTTTCTCTTTCTTCTTTATTTGTATTCAGACTTTCTACTCTTCTTATCTCATTTTGCTTATCATCATTCGTTTTATTTGCTTTCTTTATTGGTGCTTCCTCTAGAATTAGATTTAGTTGCTCGTACTCTTCTTTATTGCTCTCAAATTTAGCT